TGTTTGGGCGATTTGTTTCGAAAGGCGGTTTTCCTTGGATTTTGAAGGCTACAGAGCACGGATTCGGCCAAAGGCTATTTTTCAACGATGATTAAGTCCATTAAGCACCGATTTAGGTGGATTTCTTCCGGGGCCATTTTTGGCAGATTCCCAAGGGGTAGCATCACAGATTTCGGACGATTTTTTCAAAATGCCATTTTCTTTCGATTTCGGAGGCTACAAATCACGGATTCGGCCCGAGGCTATTCTCCACTGATAATTACCTATATTGATCATATTCCCCATCGATGATTAAGCCCACTAAGCATCGAATTGGGTCAAATTATTTTGGGATGCCATTTTTCGTAATTCTTTGGGCGATTTTTTTTCGAAAGGCGGTTTTCCTTGGATTTTGAAGGGTACAGATCACGGATTCGGCCTGAGGCTATTCTTCAATGATTATTAAGTCCATTAAGCACCGATTTGAGTGAATTTATTCCGGGTCCATTTTTGGTAGATTCCAAAGGAGTACCATCACAGATTTCAGACAATTTTTTTCGAAATGTCATTTTCTTCTAATTTCAGAGGCTATTGCTCACGGATTTGGCACAAGGCTATTCTACACTGATAATGAACTATATTGATCCTATTCCCCATAGATGATTAAGCCCACTATGCACCAAATTGGGCCAAATTATTTTCGAATGGCATTTTCGTATTTCTTTGGGCAATTTTTTTTCGAAATGCCATTTTCCTTGTCTTTTGGAGGCTACAGATCACGGATTCGGCCCGAGGCTATTCTTCAACGATGATTAAGTCCATTAAGCATCGATTTGGGTTGATTTCTTCCGGGTCCATTTTTGGCAGATTCCAAAGGGGTACCATCACAGATTTCGGACGAATTTTTCAAAATGCCTTTTTCGATTTCGAAGGCTACAAATCACGGATTTGGCCAAAGGCTATTCTCAACTGATAATTAACTATATTGATCATATTCTCCATCGATGATTAAGGCCATTAAGCACAGTCTAGGGCCAAATTAATTTGGGATGGTATTTTCGTAATTCTTTGGGCGATTTTTTTCGAAAGGCCATTTTTCTTAGATTTTGAAGGCTACAGATCACACATTCGGCCTGAGGCTATTTTTCAACGATGATTAAGTCCATTAAGAAATTATTCGAGTGAATTTCTTCCATGTCCATTTTTGGTAGATTCCGAAGGGGTACCATCACAGATGTCGGGCAATTTTTCTGAAATGTCATTTTCTTATGATTTCGGAGACTGCAACTCATGGATTCGTCCCGAGACTATTTTCCACTGATAATGAACTATATTGATCCTATTCCACATCGATGATTAAGCCCATTAAGGACCGAATTCGGCCAAATTATTTTGGGATTGCATTTTCGTAATTCTTTGGGCGATTTTTTTTCGCAAGGCCATTTTACTTGGATTTTGAAGACTACAGATCATCAATCCGGCCTGAGGCTATTCTTCAACGATGATTAAGCCCATTAAGCACCAATGAGGGTGAATTTATTCCGGGTCCATTTTTGGTAGATTCCAAAGGGGTACCATTACAGATTTCGGGCGATTTTTTTGAAATGCCAATTTCTTTTGATTTCAGAGGTTACAGATCACGGATTAGGCCCGAGGCTATTCTCCACTGATAATTAACTATATTGATCCTATTCCCCATCGATGATTAAACCCATTATGTGCCGAATTAGGCCAAATTAATTTGGGAAGGCATTTTCGTCATTCTTTGGGTGATTTTTTTTGAAAGACCATTTTCCTTGGATTTTGAAGGCTACATATCACAGTTTCGAACTAAGGCTATTCTTCAATGATGATTAAGTCCATTAAGTACCGATTCATGTTGATTTCTTTCGGGTTCATTTTTTGGCAGATTCCAAAGGGGTACCATCACAGATTTCGGGCAATTTTTGCGAAATGTCATTTTCTTTCGATTTCGGAGGCTACAGATCACGGGTTCGGCTCAAGGATATTCTCCATTTTTAATTAACTATATTGATCCTATTCACCATCGATGATTAAGCCCATTAAGCATCGAATTGGACCAAATTATTTTGTGATGATATTTTCGTATTTCGTGGGCGATTTTTTTTCGAAATACCATTTTTCTTGGATTTTGAAGGCTACAAATCACATATTCGGCCTGAGGCTATTCTTCAACGATGATTAAGTTCATTAAGCACCGATTCAGGTGGATTTCTTCCGGGTCCATTTTTGGCGGATTCCAAAGGGGTACCATCACAAATTTCGGGCGATTTTTCTGAAAAGCCATTTTCTTTAGATTTCGGAGGCTACAGATCACGGATTCGGCTTGAGGCTATTCTCCACTGATAATTAACCATATTGATCCTATTCCCCATCGATGATTAAGCCCATTAAGCACCGAATTGGGCCAAATTAATTTGGGATGGCATTTTCGTAGTTCTTTTGGTGATTTTTTTTAAAGGACATTTTCCTTTGATTTTGAAGGCTACAGATCACGAATTCGGCCTGAGGCTATTCTTCAACGACGATTAAGTCCATTATGCACCGATTTTGGTGGATTTCTTCCGGGTCCAATTTTGGTATATTCGAAAAGGGTACCATCACAGATTTCGGATGATATTTCAGAAATGACATTTTCTTTCTATTTCGTAGGCTACTGATCACAGATTCAGCCATAGGCTATTCGCCACCAATAATGAACTATATTGATCCTATTCCCCAGCGATGATTAAGCCCATTAAGCACCGAATTGGGCCAATTTATTTTGGGATGGCATTTTCGCAATTCTTTGTGCGCTTTTCTTTCGAAATGCCATTTTCCTTGGATTTTGAAGGCTACAGATCACGAATCCATCCTGAGGCTATTCTTCAATGATGATTAAGCCCACGAAGCACCGATTCAGGTGAATTTCTTTCGGGTCCATTTTTGGTAGATTCCAAAGGGGTACCATCACAGATTTTGGGCGATTTTTTCAAAATGCCAATTTCTTTCGATTCCAGAGGCTACAGATCACGGATTAGGCCCGAGGCTATTCTCCACTGATAATTAACTATATTGATCATATTCCTCATCGATGATTAAACCCATTAAGCACAGAATTGGGCCAAACTATTTTGGGAAGGCATTTTCGTCATTCTTTGGGTGATTTTTTTTCGAAAGTCCATTTTCCTTGGATTTTGAAGGCTACACATTACGGATTCGGCCTGATGCTATTCTTCAATGATGATTAAGTCCATTAAGCATCGATTCGGGTGGATTTCTTTCGGGTCCATTTTTTGGTAGATTCCAAAGGTGCACCATCACAGATTTCGGGCGATTTTTTCAAAATGCCAATTTCTTTCGATTTCAGAGGCTACAGATCACGGATTAGGCCCGAGGCTATTCTCCACTTATAATTAACTATATTGATCCTATTCCCCATCGATGATTAAACCCATTAAGCACCGAATTGGGCCAAATTATTTTGGGAGGGCATTTTCGTCATTCTTTGGGTGATTTTTTTTCGAAAGTCCATTTTCCTTGGATTTTGAAGGCTACATATTACGGATTCGGCCTGAGGCTATTCTTCAATGATGATTAAGTCCATTAAGCACCGATTCGGGTGGATTTCTTTCAGGTCCATTTTTTGCAGATTCCAAAGGGGTACCATCACAGATTTCGGGCGATTTTTTGGAAATGTCATTTTCTTTCAATTTCGGAGGCTACAGATCACGGGTTCGGCTCGAGGATATTCTCCACTGTTAATTAATTATATTGATCCTATTCACCATCGATGATTAAGCCCACTAAGCACCGAATTGGGCCAAGTTATTTTGTGATGCCATTTTCGTAATTCTTTGAGGGATTTTTTTTCGATAGGCGGTTTTCCTTTGATTTTGAAGGCTGCACATCACGGATTCGGCCTAAGGCTATTCTTCAATGATTATTAAGTCCATTAAGCACCGATTCGAGTGAATTTCTTCCGAGTCCATTTTTGGTAGATTCCAAAGGGGTACCATCACAGATTTCAGACAATTTTTTTTCGAAATGTCATTTTCTTCTGATTTCGGAGGCTATTGCTCACGGATTTGACACAAGGCTATTCTCCACTGATAATGAACTATATTGATCCTATTCCCCATAGATGAGTAAGCCCACTATGCACCGAATTGGGCCAAATTATTTTCGAATGGCATTTTCGTATTTCTTTGGGCAATTATTTTTCGAAATGCCATTTTCCTTGTCTTTTGGAGGCTACAGATCACGGATTCGGCTCGAGGCTATTCTTCAACGATGATTAAGTCCATTATGCACCGATTTCGGTGGATTTCTTCCGGGTCCATTTTTGGTAGATTCCAAAGGGGTACCATCACAGATTTCGGGCGATTTTTCAGAAATGTCATTTTCTTTCAATTTCGAAGGCTACAGATCACGGATTCGGCCCGAGCCTATTCGCCACCGATAATGAACTATATTGATCCTATTCCCCAGCGATGATTAAGCACATTAAGCACCGAATTGGGCCAATTTATTTTGGGATGACATTTTCTTAATTCTTTGGGCAATTTTTTTTCGAAAGGCCATTTTCTCTGGATATTTAAGGCTACAGATCACGAATTCCTCCTGAGCCTATTCTTCAACGATGATTACGTCCATTAAGCACCTATTTTGGTGGATTTTTTTTGGGTTTTTACAGATTCCGACGGGGTACATTCACACAGATTTCAGGATCGATTTTTCCGAAATGCCATTTAGTTACATATCTTCTATGTATGAAATTCCTTTGTATTCATTTTCTCGTTTTGTTTTCATGTTTGATCCCACTACACAACATATTTGTTTGAGTAGCCAAAAGAATAAAGGAAATATCACATTGGTGGGAGAAGGAAAGTGCAAGTTGTTTTTAAGTTTGCTTTCCACTTTTGTTATTGGATAAAGTGGTTAGTGGGATTTTGGAAAAAGTGTGGGCTATTTAATTTGACATATTAAATCGGATTTGAATTTTTGGCTAGTTAATTACCGGAATTAGTTTTAATTAATTAATCCAGATAATTATTTGATGTTTGACTTTTATGAAACGATGTACCCTTCGGAAGGGAACTGTCGTTTTCACTGTAAAAGTCTTCTGCAGCCAGATTTCTCGTCCAATGTTTTTCTTCTTCTCCTCATTTTTTCTTCTCCAAAAACACAAACACAGAAGTCACGAAAGGTGCTGCTTTCTGACTTTGATTGGAGGGACTCCTGGAGGTGGTTTGCCTAAATCCTTCCAACAACAACGTAGTGGGGGCAAATAAACACTCTAAGCAAAGTGATCAAAATCACGCCTTCAATCCATTTTCTTCGTACTGTTTCCCTGACAATATTTGCACCTTATAATTTTACATTATATCATACGGCCAACCCGCACGGTAACTATCATTATATTATTTGTGACTGATCTAAAGTAGCATCACTGGACTGCCAATGATAGATGCTATAATCTTCCTCGTCTACCATCTGCAACACTAGTTGATGATTTCGGGTAGTTTCCATTTTTCATTGGCTGCTTTTTTAGATCCGTCTTCCAATCTAGGCTGATATTGTTTGATTTCTCTCTAATGGTGCCAATCATTGTTAACTGTATGTGAGAGGTATTAATTTACACCCTAAACTTTTTAAAATTTGTCGCACTAACTTAGGGGTCGTTTGGAAGTTGCGAATGTTAAATCGTTGCATTGTAATGAATCACCATAATATAAATACATGTATTGATACAATGGATGCATTTTAACAACACATTGTTTGGTTGTTGAGATTCTACTTTATGCATTGATTTATATAAAGTTACTTTTATGGAGAAATATCATATTTACCCTCAACTTTTAGTATAAGACAAAAACTATTAGGGATATAAATGAAAATAAAAAGTTGACATAAATCTAAAAGCAACAATCACAACAATCTCAACTTTTAGTTGAGATTGAATAATGCATCATTTTTTGTGATTGTTGATGGGACCTACCTAAAACAATGCATGAATATTGTTTTACACTTTGGCACTTCGAAACATTGTATTGTGCATAATACATGTATTCAACAAACACAACTCTAACAATCACAACTTCCAAACGACCCCTTAGATAATTTGACATTTTTGCCCCTAAAATAATTCCAATCTGTAACAAATTTCACTCTAGGATTTTTTTCTGTCGTTGCCGTTCGCCTCGAGAGTCGCCGTCGTTCACCCTGGGAGTCGCTGTGGTCACAACTTCCTTCACTTCATCTTCTTCCCTTCTCGATCAAGCTTCAATTCCCATCACTTTCTGGTTTTCGATTTCTCACCCTCCTTCCTCCTCAACCGGGGCGACCTTCCGGCTCCTTCCTCGACCGCGAAGAACCCAGCAGTAGCAGAATCCCCGCGTCGTCGACGGGCGTAGCAGTGCAAGGGGTAGGGCGATGGAGGTTGCGCTGGCAAGTGGGATTGAAGATGGAGGGAGACGAAGAGATGGCCGCCTTTTGGTGTCGGAGGTTGTATTGAAGATGGAGGGAGATGAAGAGGTGGGTGACAGTAGAGGAGGTTGCTGGAGGCAGTTGCTGCCATTTTAGTGATTAGGGGTAGTTTTCGTCTATTTGGTAAGGTTAGGGCGTTAAATTTTAAAAATTTAGGGCGTTAGGAATTCAGGTACAGTATCCTGCTCACAAAATTGTCACCGCTATTTTCACACATCCGTCACAAAACGCTCAACGCAAAATTTCCTAACTGGGTCCCTTGTGGGCACATTCAGTGGCGGATCCATGGAGCTTTGGACACCCCTAAAATTTGGGAACACAATTATTCAACCCCCGATAGTAGTTTACATATCTATAAAAAAAATATTTAAATGATAGCGTGACACTGATAAAATTTGCAAAAATGATTATCCAAATCCCAATAGTAGTTTGCGTATGAATAAATAAAAATATTTAAATGTTAGTATATGTGATATGAGCTTGGGTCATTGTTATTACTTACTATAACTAGACATATTTTTCATTAGACTATCACTAAATCCTAATATTTTAAATCCTAATATTTTATCCATACACTATCACTAAATTTTTATGAAGGGTGTTCCACTATCACTATTTTTTTTTTAGCCATACACAAACTACTATCAAAAGTTGGATAATCATTTTTCCAAATTTTAGGGGTGTCTCGGGACACCCCTAAACCTCCATGTATCCGCCCCTGGATGCAGCCATAACTCATTAGTCCTGTGGGTTGCAGGATCTACTGTATATATACTCTAGATAGGATTTTAGACTTTCCCCACCTTTTACCTTGGGATTGGCGCATATTGGTGTTGTGTTTGTGTTATTGTTTTTTTTCGATGGAAGATGACCTCTCCAAATACCTAGAATTCGGGGACACGCTCCTCATCATCCTCAGCAAGTCGAACCAATGGCTCACGCTCCTTCACGTGTACCACCACGCCACCGTCGTCATCATGTGCTACCTCTGGCTCAGCACGGCCCACTCCCTGTTCCCGGTGGCGCTCGTGACCATCGCGACAGTGCACGTGGTCTTCGGGCTGATGTTGTACTACCATTTCGTCAGCGGCAGGTGCTCTGGTATGTGGGGGTGGTGCTTCAATGTCGTTTTCGATGCTTCGCTTCTGGCGCTTTTTGTTGATTTCCATTGGAAGAGCTACGTTGCTGCCGCGTAAGAAGAGGAAGGCCTCCGCGGCGGAGAAGATTGGTTCAGGAGGCGGCGGTGGCGATAAAGCTGGAAACACTTGCCTCCGGCGGTCCCTGCAATCAATTTTCCTCAGGCGAGAAGTAAAGAACCAATTAATGGCCCCATTGGTCCGTTTCGTCCTATTTGGTTTTAATACATTAGTTATGTTATTTGATGTTATTGGGTCTTTAATGATATGTTACAAGTGATTAATGAGTCACTAAAGTGATCCTTTTATGGCGCTCTACGACCTTTATGGTTGGTTTATATCTCAATTATGGAATAGAAAGAATTAATTTATGACTTTCAGAATTAATTTCTGGCTTTCAAAGTATCAGTGGCGCAAACTTCATCCTCATCGGTAAAGCTTCCATTGGAATTTTATGAGCATTTACTTGTCCGATTGAAAGACGCCCATTATTTCGGGTTGTGGTTAAAAACGTCATTAATTAATAATTAATTCCAATTCCTTTTGTGTTTAGCCAACAATTAACTTAATGAGTCATTAGCTCAATTTATTAGAATTGATGACATTTCCTTCAATTCATTTAAATTTGAGGCCCATCGGCAGTAGAATGTGAATTCTAAAACTCAATTTTTGGTTTCTTGCCAAATGGTATGACAAATTTTTTTGTTAGAAAATTAATTAGGGTTAATAAATCACGACAAAGTTGAAGAGTGGGTGATTAGCAGATATGGCTTTCCACTAACAATGGATTGTATTATTTTAAATTGTATTTGTATTATGTTCAACGACATTGCAATCTATGGTGGTTCTTCAATTTCATGAAGTAAATTGCTTTCTCAAATATCTTGATTGTTGGGAATATCAAGAGATTATTGAACATTTGTTCTTTCATTGCCCTCTTGTCATCATGCTATGGACTTTTAGTGGGATTAAGTGATTTGCTTGCTTCCACCCAAACTTCGAACTTTAGTATATGGTGGCGACAATGTTATGTTTTCAGTAAACTTCCAAACCCACATTCTCCCATGCGTTTGCCTTTTTTGGAGAATCTGGAAATCTCTTAACAAAGTGGTTTTTGAATATACTCAGCCACACGCCCATTCTCTTGCCCGTCAATTCCATTTCCAAGTCATTGTATGTTCCTTAGCCTTTCAGCCCCCAGGACCTCTCTCTCAGTCTTGTGCCCTCTCATCCTTCTGTTTTACATCGCCCGCCTCCAGACTTTGTGAAGATCATCTTTGATGCTGCTGTTTGTCGTTCCGGTTGCTCATCTGGCCTCGTCATACATGGGACCGACGGGCAAGTTCTACTGGCCTGGGATCTCAACACCAAGGAGTTTTCGATCCCTTTCTAGCAAAGCACCTTGTTGCTAGGTGATCCTGAAGTGGTGATTCGGCATCTGGACCGTAGAATAGTGGAAGATTCGATAGGCGGCTCACTGCTCCAAGAGTGTCATCGGCTCCTAGTTTCATGCTCTCTTTGTATAGTTTTTAGTGTGATTCTGCGGACTGCCAACTGAGCTGCCCATAGAGTGGCACCTAAAGCTCTGTTGCTGTCCTCTTTAGAGGTAGCGTCCTTTGATTTTGTAGGATGGCTTCACTAAGTGTTGCTTTGGGTGGGGTTTTGGGTAGAGGTTTCTAACTATTTTTTCTCTTGTCATTACTTGGGGGAAAAATCCTAATATAATAGTAAAAATATATTTATTATCTGTAATTATTTTCAAAAGCTAACGATTAAACCCAATCAAGGACTGCTCTAGTCTCCTTGTCTAGTAGGATCTGTCGAGAGTTGTTAGACAACAATAGTATTTTATAATTTTTTCAAAATACGAACACTTCATGTGTTTTGTTGTATTTCATACAAATCGGATATTTTTATTTAATTATTAATTTAATTTAATTTTTAGGAGAGGACATCCCTATGTAAAATTTCTGGATCCGCCACTGGACACATTCTCATAGAAGCACCTTATGAACACATTCTCATGCTACCACCAACGTGGTTCCGCCACTCACCACAATATGTAGTACAGGTACGGGGTACATGTACGTGACCATGAATCAATGAATGCCATGCAAACGTAAGTACATATATGAATTTAAGAGACTCTCACTCTCACACTGAGTCAGTCGTTGGCACTTTCCGGTGGCCACAAAGCTGAAAGTCCCAAAAGTTTGATGGGTTGGGTTGGGTTGGGTTGGGAATGATGAAGAGATCCTTTCACCTTATTAATGTTTGTACTACGAGCCATCACTTCCACTTCACTTGTTGATTTTCCCATCAAAACACCAAGTCCACTCATGTTTCTTGGGGTCGTGTATTACTTCGACAGTGAATCAAGTGCAGGCATAGCTAACTGTCAGCCGTTGGCCCAGTACTTAGTTTGCCATTTCCAGGTACTTCTCCCCCAAGACATATGGGCTGTTTGTTTGGCCTTATAAAAACATTCATCAACAGCCATTTACGTACATATAAATTTTTTTTAGAGAAGCCTTTTTACTATAATATGGGGTTGATGTTAAAGAACAACTTTCAGTTAAATGAAAGAATTGGGTTATATCCATATGGTGTACAGTGGTGGAGCACGTTATAGCCAGGAGGGGCTATAGTCCACCTCAACTCTTAAAATTGTGTAAATTTGCGTGTAAGGTTTATAACAAATTTGGATAATAGAGTAGGTGGTAATCCTTTTGCCCTTTAGCCCCCTCTTGGGTTCCAATCGCTTGAACGCAAATTTTTAGCCCCCCTCCTCACTCAGATTTCTGCCTCCGCCATTGTATGTGTAGGATATTTATGTTTCAGGGAGATCCAATGGTATATGACATGTTAAAAATTCATATTTATAAAACCATCTTCAGCTATCAACATTGTAAAAGAAAACATATCTTGTTTTGAATCTGGAGGTCCTAGTTTCGAATCCCTTCAGTAGTAGAAGACTGTACGAACTATAAGCACATCAATTTCACAAAACGTTGCCTTGTGGCCTTTTCAATTTTCTACACTTTCCTCCCAAAATGTTCTGTTTAATTATGGTTTTCCACCTTAGAAGAGGATAATTCCTTGCGTTCGTTGAAATTAATTATCTGCTGAAAAGAAAGTGGGGAATGAAATGAAATGAAATGAAATGAAACGAAAGGGAACTTGTCAAATTCTTTGCAACAAATACAGGGCATCCGGTTGACCAATAATCATCATTATGGTTACCAAAAAAGAAATCCAATCATTCCAACATAATGATAAAAATGATTACCCTCTTGAGCTCTTCCATGGTTTGCCAATTGTCGGGCAGTCCCACGGCAAGTGCCAACCACCACCATGTCCACAACAAGAACACGATCTCTACCAAATAAATGAGCAACTTGTACCACACCAATTAATAATGTGACACACAAGTACAACTTAGTCCAACTCAATTGAAATTCCATACTTGAATTTGAGAGCAAAAGAACATGAAATTAGAACAACTTTTTCCCTCATTGGAGCATGCATAGGCTTGTGTAAACTTTAATATCGTGGTTTCTTTTTATGTTAAGGGTACATATAAGAAACTCGTATAAGATTTATAGTTAGAATTTACTCAATAATTAGAATTATAAGACTAACTGATGTTTCACATAATAATCAATAATCAACAATGAATAAAGCAAATGAAAATGTGAATAGAATTTCACCCTAGATCACTTTTGACAACAATAGATTCGTTAATGTATCTATTGATGTGGGGTTGGTTGCCATTAGGGCACGGGTTTTAATTTATGGTTTGCTTCGAATCTCCATAATTCTTGAATCAACCTTCTCCAATTTCTCTTCGGATACCTAAGTGATCCTCTTTGCAAAACAAGGCAAATATTGATGTTTTTCGATATTGAAATTTTGATGCTCAAATTAGTGAAGAATTAGACTCGAAGAACAGAGATATTAGGGTTTTGAAAAATAATGTCCGCCTCTTCTACGAGGGGACCAACTTGTGGGGGGATTGGCTTGGAACGATAAGATGTGTTTCAGCCTTATTTTCTTGGGTCAATATGAGGGCTTAAATGCTCTTAACTCGAAAATCTTAATCCACTAAATCTTAATGAAGATTCGGGATCTAGCCACATATGCTTACAATCCATGATCTCCTTTACAAGCTTTGTCGAAGCTGTAATATTGAAGTTTCTTTATTCTTAGGATGTTTAGGTGCTTTTAACATTGCCAGAATAATGTGACAAAACAAGTTACAAACAACTCATAATTTGAGAGGTAAAAAAATGTGTATTCAAGATTGAAAAGAGTTTCGAGATAAGAGATGAAGAAATGAACCTTAAGAACATATTTATCCTAATTTAGATAAATATAACCATTTACACATTCCTACTTGATAGTACCTAAAATGATTTACTTTCCACTCCTCAAATATTTTCCTCAAAAGTAACATACCCACTTTTTTCCTCAAGAAACATAGGATTAAGGAAACATCCCATCACTAAACTACAATATCTTCATCACTGAAAAATGACAACCAGCAAAAGATGGGAACAAACTACAGGCCTGCAGAACTCCCATACTTGGATGAATTCGATCTCAACTGATAGATTTGGGACCTTGGAGTGCCCACTCTGCCACCTTGGGCTAGCTTTAACAAAAACGCTTAATATATAGCTTTCTTCTTTCTTTCTTTGCCCACTCTGCCACCATGGAAGTTGTGCTCCCTTCCACTACCAAACAAAACCACCCATCACTCTGTCTCTCTCATTAGCTTCACCTTTATTGTATTCACTGTCCACAACCATCACCTGTCTGTTCTGAATTGGATCGAAACACACACCCCTTAGGACAACTTGCATCTCCTCTTTTGTTCCCCTGGCTTAGTGGGTTTAGTGGAAGTTCATCTCAGCCAAAGATTCTGGGATTCTCCACCCCAACAAATTGGTTGCTGTAATAGAAAAGTAACAACAAAAGGTCTCCACCTCCATTCCCCGTGTATTTACAGATCTTTTATGCAACTAACTGTACTACTTCACTGCTACAACAACACCAAATGATCGATCTTAAAATGAAAGCCCTGCACCTCAACAAGAAAAAGAGAAAGAAAGAACAAAACTGACCCAAAAGAACAACAAGACTCGAGAAAAAGGCACCCACTCATACTTTTGAAAACCCCAAATGATCAAACGAAAAAGAAACCACTACAAAAGCGGAAAGCTTGCTGCTGAAGTTTTGTTTGCAGTTCTCTACTACCATAAGGGTCTTGATCTCTTGGAACCGGTGGACTGTGGGCTGATCTGAGGAACAGTGAATACATCTTCCATAGTCCACCTTCTGTTTGCTTTGCCGTTCCCTGCCTGATTATGATCCTTTGATTCCTTGTTGAAGTACCCATTCTGCATCCCGAATTGCTGATAATGCTCCTGATTTTGAAGAGATGGGTATTGATGAGGAGTTGGTGGCGCCTGCGGAACCCAAATCCCCGAGCTTTCAGATGAGAAGGAGCTCATCAGATCGCTGCCGGCGGTAAAAGGAGGTAGAGCTTCATGATCACCAGGCTGAACACAACAATAGAACAAAACAAACCCGATTGAGTACAAACAAAACCCACAAAATATCTGTGACAGATCAGCAAAAAGTTGTGAACTTTTATCATTCGAACCTTGCAGAAACCAAAAGGGGTTGATGGGTTCTCGAGAAAATCCTCAACGTGCCAACCAGGGAGCATCTCGATCAAATACTCTGAAATACTGCTCGTAGCCGGTGCACCAAACCCTTCCCCTGCCACCAACATATTATTGCTCCAGCTATTGTTGTTGTTATTGTTGTTAGAACTGTTACCCCCGACTTTGATGGGTACGTTGTTGCTCGAAGAATATAAGGTCTTGGCGATTGAATTAGGACCAGGGTTGGTCGACAGTGACACTGGCTTTTTCGCAGGCTGTGGCGGCACAGTAGGCGGAGGGTGAGGCTTAGTCGTGGTAGTCTTAGTGCAGGGGAAGTGATCTACGGTGTCGGAGGAGGCAGGGGAGGTGTAGAGAGCGGAAGTGGCGGAGAGCTTCACTCCGGTGAGGAGAAACCGGCTGTGCTGCTTTGTGAACTCGTTGGCCGTGTGGATTGGGACGTCGCAATCCTGACACAAGATCGCCCTGTCCTGCTGGCAGAACAGGAACCCCCGTTTATCCTGCAAAGATCGAGAAAACCCAAATCGAAATCAGTATACTTTTCACTCTAATAACAAGGAAAAGAGCGTTTTTGTTTTCTTTTTCACAGCGGCAATCGACGAACACCTGGCAGACGTCGCAAAGAGGGAAGGATTTCGGGGAAGAAGGAACGTGGAGGGAGAAACGGAGGTGCTTGGAGGCGAGCTTGTTTGCGTGGTGGACCCGGCGATCGCACCCGTCGCATAGCGCCGCCTCGTCGGCGGTGCAGAACACCGCCGCTTCCTCCTTGTTGCAGACGTCGCACTGGATTTTCATCTTGCGCCGGTGGTATGACAGAGAGGAAAGGGGGTTGAATTTATTGATCGCTGCCGCGGTGGCAGCTGCGGCGGCGGATTGGTGGTTGGGGGTTACAAGGAGAAGGAAGCGAAGAGAGGAGGTGAAGAAATGGAGATGGCGGCCATGGACGGAAGTCAGAAGAGGGGAAAAGGAAATGATGGGATGGTGGGATGAGAAGGGAAATGGTGGTGGGTTTTTAAAAATAATTCTTTATGTATTTATATATATTATTTTTTCTATTTTATTGTTTGGTGGCTTTCCCTTAATTAGATGTATGGGAATATAATAAAAGGTGGGGAAAAGATTTGGCAATTACATAAAATAATAAATTAAAAAACAAAATACAAAATACATAAAATAATTTAAATAATGTGAAGGTACAAAGGATTAGATGTGAATAAACAATATGGGAAATAGGATTTGATGCTACGAGAAGGAAGATAATGATCATGGTAACAAAAATGGAAAAACAATACATATATATGAGAAATGTTTGTTTTTCAGTTGTGAAAGGCCAACTTAGCTAATGAAGAAGTGGTCGAGTAATGTGTCTAATTCCAAGAGAGGGTTTGGAATGCTACATAAGTTAAGAAAAGGTGGTATGAAATCAAGTCGATTCGGATTACATTCGATGGTGAGGTCAGGGTTTATAGTGAGTAGGGATTGAAAATAGCATACTCTAATAATTTTTTTTAGTTTGAATTTAATGTTTGAGGAGGGGGATTGCAAATTCTCATCCTACCACTTTCTAAATGCTCGTCATGTTTGGCTCTTAGTGACTCAAACGAGCATGTGAGATTGATGTCAGGTTTCCATCCTTGGTGCATTTTCCGCTCTTCCGTGCAACACTTCTTGCAGTCAATGATGCCAATTTGGCTGCAATCTTTGGTTCTTTGGTAGTAGTAGTAGTAGTAGGTTCTTTAGTCTTTAGGGCGGTTCGTCTAGCCACATTCTAGACTTCCCGTAGAGGCATACGTGAAGCTCTATTGATTTCCTTTTTTTCAAGATAGTCATTTGTAGTCTGGTTAGTGCAAGTTTTTGTTTTGGAGGGTGTAAGGATGTGTTATTTCTTTTCTAATGTTATATTCTCTTGACATTTCTTAGGCAAAAAAAAAAACTTAGATAAAATGTTAAGGGTGTTATAAATTAGATTATCTCATTATTTGATTATCTCGTTAAAACGAATGAGAATAAACTTCAGTCGAATTATATTTGTTTGAAACCGATTCAATATTTGCTTTGACTGAATCGTTGACGATTCTTAATACTTTATATGAATGAAACCACATTTGATGATCCTAGATCTAAGGGTTCTACTAACTACTAGCTATTAGCTAGTGAGGTAGACAAAAGGGGAGTAGGAAATACAGCTATGAAATCAAAAGGAATTTTCTATTAATTAAGTTGGGTCTCTATAGTGGCAGCTTAATTAACTTATAATCTATACTTAATAGAAAGGTTTATGCTTTTAATAAACATGTTTGAGGGTCATGCCCCCAATTATAGGGTTCCATATTCATTTCTTATTGCCTAGCAAGGTGGTTTCCTAATATCCTTCTCCCACTTTCAGAACATAATCTTTGTTAGATACTACTAGCTAGAATCATACGTTATTTTAGCTGTTTTAGCTAATTCCAAAAGATTAATTATGTTTCATACCAAATGCTTGTGAAATGGTAAATTGGTATTGGATCGGCTTTTATTCATATTGGTTAAATTGTGTAATGAAGACATCTACCATGCTGTAATTAGGTCATGTGCATGATTTTGTTCCCTTCTTTCGGGATTTACTATTTGGCCTTGAATAGTTAACTGCGCTGTTTCAATTCAATCTCCCTTATACGGTTTCACAAGCACCATTAAATACCTTATTGGAAACATACCGCAAAATCCTAAACAAAATAAAAACCAAATATAAGTTTTAGAGGATGGGATAGCTAGATTTGCCTAAAGATGCTAGATGCCTTTGAAAAGGTGTGTAATTATGAAATCCATCAACTAGCTCTTTTATCCATAAATAGTATACAAGTGGTCAATTATTCATTGTCCCACCCATCGTCCCACCTTTTCTTGCTTCCCACAAAGCAGTGTGTTAGTGATTCTTTTGTTTGGTGCAATTGTGTATTACTGATGCTAATTGCGAGGATTAGTAATTTTCTAGATCTTGATATTTGTTTGATCAAAAGAAAATTATGGGTAAATTGCAACTTTGCTCACTGAGTTTACTAAAAAATTTCATGTTTAGTCATTCAAAATATTTAATTTCAATATTGGTCACTCGAATTAGTAAAATGGTCCACTTTCAGTTACTCTCCGTTAGTCTCTGTTAATCTCCGTTAACACCATCATTCAATTGCCGATGTGGCTAACAGAAGTGCTGACTCACCCAATTTTAACCCTCCACGTCACTCAACCAACCACCTCAGTTTCCCCAACCCAGCCCATAAACCAACCCTTCCAAACCTGTGACCAGTTCTGGTCTACTCCATTTTCCTCCGCCTGGGGCCTGCACGATTCAGATCCAAACCAGTGATCAGATCCGACCTAACTCGATTTTTCCCTCATCCCTCCATCTTTCATGTTCAAATCCTTTCAGCAACACTTAACTATAAAAATCCATATATCTTATTCTTATAAAAAAATATAAATAAAACTGATAACACCAAACTTGGTACTATTTACCAATGTTGTCAGAACCGAACCGTCATATGAACCGGTATTATAAGCGGCTCGCACTTTATTGGTTTAACCGCTATCAAGCCGTTATAAATCCGTTATCAAACCGGTGTCTAAGAAATAGAATTATTATAAATAGAAACCATTAATGTTATTATAATTATATATTTATTCTAATATATTCAAACAAAAAATTATATATAACAAGTAAAGAATATTATTGTACAGAAATATAAATTATTTAAGTATAATACGAGTGATTTTTAATAGTTATGAACATTATTTAATGATTAGTTTCAAAACTAAACTGTGCGAAAGTGTATAATAAGGAGACTTGTAGCTTCTATTACACAAGTTGGTTGGTAGTAGTGCAACTGGATAAATTTTGACTTCTCACCAAGAGCTGCAGGGTTCGAATCCCAGTTCTCTCCACCTGGCTGGATATTTTTGTCACGAAGATTCTGACCGGTTCAACCGCCGAACCGTTTCCTGGATATTTTTGTCACGAAGATTCTGACCGGTAAAACCGATGAAACGGTTCGGCGGTTGAACCGGTCGGTTCGCTTGTAAATGGGGTGTTTCAGCCGTGGCGGCTAAATAACTTAACCGGACCGGATTGGTGACCGGGTGACGGTTTCACCGGTCGGACCGACCGGTCCGGTTCGACTTTAATAACACTGCTATTTACCCTACATATTTAGGTGTGTTTTGTGCCAATTCATGTTTTTAAATGCTCGAACATCGTCAAATACATCCCTATTGCGTTCCTATTTGATTTCGATGTGATTTTAGGGTGTATGAGTCGATATGTGCGAATTAGGTACAAAACAAGGTCACAAGTGTAGAGAAGGGGCAGAAATTGAAGATCGTGGCCAAGAAGCCAAAGATCACGGTCGGGTTCACAAGCCGCGAAGGCCAACTGAAGATCGCGGTCCGAAAGCTAAGGATCGCGATCTTGGAGGCTTAGGGCGAACTTCGCATGGAGGGAGTCTTGAAGAAACATAGATTTTCCCCAGTCGCATCACGACCAACGCTTATCTTTCCCGCGAGAAATATCATGGTTGCGACTCGCAGATCACGACCGTGAAGTCAACCCGTTATCTTCCCCTTCAGAAGGCCATGACGACATCGTCTTGAGATCGCGGCCTATCCTCAGAAGATCCCGCCTGCGATCTCACATCCTCATACCGCGAACTTCCCCGAGTCCAAAATGCCTATAAATAAAAGACCCCTTTACCCATTTTAAGAGAGTTGATTTTGAGATAAATTTTATGGTTCTATAGAGAGAAGAGAGAAGTTGAAGGAAGGAGAAGAAGGAGGAGCTAGGAGCAAGGAGGATCTTCCCCAACTTCAAGTCTTATTCTATTTCTACCATGTATCTTCTTCCCTCCTTTATGGAGTAGTCCTCTAAGGTACTAGGGGTTCTAAACCTCAAACCCTAGTTTTAAGATTTACTTTGTATATATAGATGTTTTAGGGTTTGAATGAATGAATGTGTTTGCCTAGTTGATTTTAATGTCACTCTTTCCTAAATGATGATGCTAAGGCAACTGACCACAATCTTCCCTCTTAGCCTGCTTTATGCTACCACGCTGGGTACAGAGTTCTAGGGTTAGACGGGTATGCGCCATTTGGCGAGTTTAGGTTAGATGTGTGAATGGGGGCCTATAGTGGTCGAGGGGACCGTACCCCTGCTATAGGTGGCTTTCCTAGGTGAAACTCGTGATGAAACCTCGTTGTGGACGGTGGATAGTGTGCATTGAAATGAGCCATATACTTAATGTCCCAGATATGATAGCCTAGATCGAGGTGACTGGAACATGGGTTTAGGGGCAGCGTACTCGGAGGCGTGTGGATAATGATGAAGGCCCAAGGAAAAGAGCTCACTGACCATATTCGATGACCCTAGATATCTATATATGCATAATGACCCTAAACTAGGGGGAAGATTAGTCCCTGAAGTACATGCGTTTAGCTTTGATCAATCCTTATACTAGAGTTTCCTCATATCATCTATCCAAAACCTCAAAACCCGATTAACTAATTAGCAACTAGGTGAGAAGTAGACTAGGGTACCGGGACTCGAGTAGAATACGACCTTAATTACCACTATACGACAATGCCGTTCTATGTTAATCTTGGTCTAGGATGAGATAGTTGTGGATAGGTGCAAACCTCAAACAAAAACTTGCACGGACTGAAGTGATAAAACCACATTGATTGGGCTAACCTCAAATGGACTAGGATTCAACCGATTGATCCTTCACTTAATATCCATGTGAAGTGAAAAGCAAAACGGGGATTGACAACCTTGCAGAATACCAATTTCCAAACAAATTAAATCCTTATATGGCAAAGGATCAATCACGAACCTCCCACGTGCTTGCCTTTACTGGAAACATGGATTATTGGACTTGTATAATTAAGCACGTAGTTCAATATAGTTCATTTTATTGTACATTTCATCTACAGCACAGCAACCAAATCTACTAAGATCCACCCATTCATTATGTTCCGTTGAATCACTCTAAACATGTTTATTAATCAAATTTTCGTGAATCTGATTTGATGAGACACTTATCTTTGTTGAAAAAAATTTAGAGGTACCAAATTCGAGAGTTCTATAAATTTACAAAATACTAATCACGAGGTGAGATTTGAAAAAGGAAGATAAATACATGATGTTAAATGAGTCATATACTCATCTTATTTTTATATTATCAATTTTTCCTCAATACCCATGCTATTAACTATGGCTTCAAATTTTCTGGAAGCTTCGTAATTTTTATAGGAACGTTGGAACCCTAAAAAGGAAAATGCCAATTTCACAACATAAAATGGTGGTGCCGCCAAAAATCCTCTATCATCTTCTTTTTCTCCTTTTCCTTCTTTGTATCATAATTCATAATACAAAAATCAAGTCGTTGCTTCAGATTTTGGTTGAAGTAGCGTTTGGAGATTATTTGACTAATCCTACGAGTGATTATAATAAGGAGAATGATGGAATTCACTCCCTCCGTCTGCTTTGTTTCTGCCTATTGGTATGACTTGAATCATATTATCAGCCGTCGACTGAAAATCACGGGAATTAGCTAATTCGTATTGTATTAGTAAACCAAATAAATCAATATATACGTTATTTACTTTCTTGCATTGTCAATTTTCAGATCATTTATAAGCCCAATCAATTTCGTAACATAACCGGCGTGACAATTACGTTCTAACAGGGAAAGATCATACGATTCCCCGTAAAGCCAAACAAGTAGAAGGAAGGATTCTCGAGAAAGTATTCAATATTTCTCGTCAACAATTTGGGCTGGGAAGGGCATAAATATAATAAGCACAACACGACAAAACAATACTTTTTCCGTTATTTTCGTTTGAGATAAGCAAATGGATGATTAAAAAGGATAATTAATTAACGTCGACACCGTACTAGTAAGATAGATATGTTCGCTGTACCAATTCCAGCGTACTGTTATTAAGATTGAGATTAAGCACAATTGTTTGGAATTTTCTCCGTGTATAATAACAGACCTAGAATTATTTCTGTGCAGCTCGAAGAGAATTATTTGTGTGCAATATATGAAGATAATGACACGACCTGCAGGTTACTGGCTGAGAGTTTGTCGGCATTTCCTCTGAACATAACTGGAATATTTGGCTGGATGGATATTTTGCCACCAAATTATTCGATCGGGTTCACTTCACTTGGACAGGACTCCCCTCACTAGATCATCACAACCCTCTAGGACACTCAGCGGCGGAGCCAGAAGTAAAATTAAGGGTGTTGTTTCGCGAGAAACCAAATACCACCACCGGTGTGCCAAGCGATGATGTTGGTTTGATTGTTTCACGGTGAAAATTTTTGTGGAATTGTCAAGTATCCACCGCCGGGTGTGCCAAATTATTTCGGGCGGTCTTAATTAGATCGATGCGTCACTGACTTTTTAACCAAGACGATCGTTACTATGGTTCTCACCTCTCCGAACAATGTACGAACGAGAGTGTTTGAGTTTTGGGAGGAATCTACGTTAAACTACTCTTATGGAGATTCTTGTGGACAGCTTTGTAACTACGACAG